CTTTCCCTAAGTTGTGTACTAACTGAAATTTTTAATTGCTGAGGAGAGAAAACCCCAGACTCTACTGTTTATGGTCAAGGTCTAGACCTGTAACCAAAGTTGCTGTTCCAGTGCTTCACTGTGCTGGGTTTTTATGTCAGGGAACCATCCTCCCTTCTACACATGCTTCTTCAACCCCACTCACAGACATCAGCCTAGAAAAACACATTTGGCTTCACTTTATGTCTTGAAAATTAATTAAAACCAGAGTTTTACCATCCTTACCAGTTGATTTCTGGCTTATACATTACAGCTGACTTCAGTGGATAGATCTGGATTTATAGCACTGCAGCCAAAGGAAGATATTAGCTCACTGTCCAAAGCTCCCAAAATAAAAGTTTCTGAAGATGCTGACCTGCTTAGCTCCAATAGCTCCTTAACCTGAGTTGGACTATAAATATGTGAGAATGGCCTGCACAGGAGTACTTCAATTTTGACAGAGCAATTATTCCCCAAAATGAAAAGCCAGCACTGAGCAATGTCTGTGTCGTGATTCTTTTTTACCTCAAGTTCATTACTTTATTATATTGGTGCAGTTACCTGTCTGTTAGTCACAGAATCATGGAATGCTTTGGGTGGGAAGGAGCCTTAAAGACTGTTTAGACTCAGCTCTTCTGCCATGGGCAGGGACACCTTCCCCTATTCCAGGTTGCTCCAAGCTACATCCAGCCTGACCTTGGGCACTTCCAGGGATGGGACAGCCACAGCTGCTCTGGGCAACCTGTGCCAGGGCCTCACCACCCTCTCAATAGAGAATTTCTTCCCAATATCCTATCTAACCTCACTGTCTGTCAGAGTGAAGCCATTCCCCTTGTCCTGTCACTCCAGGCCCTTGTCATAGTCCCTCTCCAGCTCCTCTGTAGCTCCTTCAGGTACTGCACAGCTGCAATTAGGATGTACCAAAGCCTTCTCTTTTCCAGGCTGAAAAATCCCAGTTCTCTCAGCCTTTCCTCACAGCAGAGGTTCTCCATTCCCCTATTTACCCTGGTGGCCTCCTCTAGATTCATTCCAACAGATCAATATCCTTCCTGTGCTGGGGACCCCAGAGCTGGGTACTCAATGCTGAATTATTTTCAGTAACAATCTGCATTATTCTAAGCAGGCAGAGCATGGTGCCTTTTCTCCTTGCCTTCTCAAAACACTCCCTGCTCTCTGCTGCAAGAGATGGGCAGGACAAAGCCTGAGGTCTTCCAGGCAACACACAAGCAATTTACAAAATTCAGAAGGCAAACATTATACACCAGAGGGATAAAATGGGTAACACCCTTCTCAACTAAAAATAAATCCTAATATTCTAAGGGAAATGTATAAAATAGGAGACAACCCTGTTTTGTGTCATACTTTTCTTCTGCAAAGCCTCTTCCCTGCTCTGCTTTCTATTAATGAAGACATGCACATGAAGTAATTCCCCTCATTAATCAACTTCATTCTTTTGGTTTCTTCCCACTTGAAGTGACAGCCCTGCATTTGGGATGTCACGTAGTGGTGGAGCTGAGACTGATTTTAGGGATGAGTAGTAGAGGCAGATGAAACTCTCAAGAAACAGCGACCTTGGCTTCAAAAGGCTTCTCCAGTAAGTCGAGAAGAGAAGGGAACGGGTTCTGGTGAACCACAAAGGCAACATCTCACTGGGAAAGAGGAGGAATATGTAGGAGAACAACTGGGTGGTTTGAGGGCAAGTATAGAACCATCCCTGCATGAGGCAGAGAAAGAGATGGAGGCAGGAATGCTAAGAGCACTGCACAGCCATTGCTTAGAACCACAGAATCATTCAGGTGGAAATGACCTCTAGGATCATCAAGTCCAACCATTAACCCAGCACTGCCAAGCACACCACTAAAACAAGAGCCACATCTTTTAAATCCCTCCAGGGACAGCAACTCCACCACTTCCCTGGGCAGTCCAGACCAATGCTTCACAACCCTTTTGGTGAAGAAATGTTTCCTAACATCCAAATAAACAGCTGTGCAATGCAGAGATCCTCCTGCTCTCAAAGGTCAGCTCTAAGCCTACTCACAGTTCAGCTCTCCCATCTGCTCCTCATTTTCTCCTTTTCCTCCTGCCCAGATGCAGCTGCCTGCCCTGCTCACAGGGAATCACAGCCCTCTGCCCCCTGCCCCCTGCCAGCTCCCAGGACAAATGGCCCAACATGCTGAGAGCACCCCAGGTCAGGGGGAGCTACGGCAGCAGGGATGCTCCTGGCCTTGGGGAGCACAGCCTGGGACACATCCCAGGGGATCCCAGCCCCAAGGCTGGTCCTGCCCAGCAAGAAACACATTTCCATCATTGTGGTGGCTGCACATCTGCTTCTCCTGCTTTTCTGCTGCCCCCATGCAAAGCTGAGCGCAAGGCAGCTCTGTGGCAGCCTGGTTCCAGCCATGGGCATCAGAAAGGCTTTTTCCCTCAGCCTGCCCCCAGTATCAAAAGTTAAAATATTCTCTACAAAGTCTTTGTCCTTCTGGCAAATCTGGCTGAAATTGGCCAAGTTCAAATTACTGGGGAAGGAGAAGACCCATACACCCCTCACACTGAAATTCAGGCTGAGGTGTGTGCTGTGATGCATGATCAGTGGGGTGTCAAAACCAAATCAAACAAGAGCAGAAGAGCAACAAATCCCAGCATCCTTCATAGCTGTTACAGCAATGTCAGTAGGATATGGCATAGGGTTAAAAATGGAAACTAAAATCCTCTATGGGATTTCAAAAATAACAATAAACCTACAGAACTTCATAAAGAAAAAAACTGTTTCTGCTGTAAAGTTTTATTGTAAGGCTCAAACCTCTCCTCTTAAGATGTTAAATATAAAAATATTGAAATCATCTTATGGAAGCTGTTTTCTTCCTCAGTCCCATTTCCAGAGCTCTGGATCATTTATCCCTTTAAAGCTTCCTTTGCTTGCACCTCAGTTATAATCTAGCAGCTCAAAGCGCTACTGGCTTGTGGATGCAAGTGTCACCACACACCACTTAATATCCACCTTCTACCTCTGCATTTTCATCACCCTGAAACAGCTCAGAGTTTATTTGATCACCCTGAAGGGAACTAAATAAGTAAATTCATTTGAATATGCAACTGGATTTAATAAAACCTGCCCATATGCTTCTGCTAAATAATACTCCCATGCCTGCTTTATGTTTTGTTTCCTCCTTCTTCAGGGATACATCTTGCTTTGGAAAGATAATTATCTTCACCTCCTTATTAAATACAGCTAATTAGTGCAGCCACAGCCATCTGAATGTAGTAATTCAGTGTTTGCTGGTTTCAAAGTCAGGATAAGACCAGCCTGGACCAGGACTGCAGGTCCTGGGGGTAAGAGAGAGAAGGAAAACCCTTGTGGTGATGTGAATGCCATTTTCCCAGAGTTGAGGTCATTCCCAGTCCCTGGCACCATCCAGAAGTGCTGGAGCATCACCAAAGTCCCTCTCCAGGAGCTGGGACAGGCAAGGTGCCAGGCTGCCCGGGGGACAGTGCTGATGCTCTCCCAGGGAACAGTCCCTGTTTCCTCCCAGAGTTCCTGCTTTTCAGAGTTCTGCCACTAAACCACATGACTGAGACAGGAGAAGGGACAAACCTGCCAAGGGCACTGCTGATCCAGCAGGGTTGGCCACACCCCACAAGGGCAAAAAGCCACCCTAAAAATGACAGTCAGCAGCCCATTAGAGTGAAATTGCACATCTTAACTTCTAATAAATTAAACTCTTAATTTCCAACAGACCCCTGAGGCATCTGTACAACCTCCTGGCTCCAGCATCTGCGGGCAGGTGCCACCTGAGGGAGACAAAGCCCTTCCCTGGACACCGAGCCCTCCCTGCAGGCCACAGCCTCCCCTCCCAGCCAACCTCATCTGTCCTCATCATTTGGGGGAGTCCCGAGTACCTTCATGGCAGGGATGCAAGGGAAACACAGGCTGGTTCTGCAAAATTAACCCCATCTCCCACCTCTCCATTTCGGGGGAAACACTGCTGCCCTCCCCAGGGAGGATCTCAGGGGTCCAGGGGAAGTGAAAACTGCAAATATCCCTGGAATTCCCTTCCAATCCTCCACTCTTGAGCTCCCTGGCACGCATAATAGGTGTTTCTGTGGTTTCTGGGCACTCAAGGGGAGCCAGGCCAGGGCATGGGGTGGCAAAGACAAGCAGGGAGTTTTCCTAACACACTCATTCAGGAAAAAAGGAAAAAAAAAAAAAAAAGAAGGAAAAAAAAAAAAGGAAAAAAAAGGAAAAAAAGGGTATCAACCACAGGAAGGGGAAGGCTAAGGTAAGCCAGTACACACCTTCCAGAGCAACAGGCAGTGCAGAGCTCACTGCATCAATTCAAAAAGCAGGAGCAGAGCTGGAAGCTCTCTCTCCGTGCCATGCCATGCCATGGAGAATTTACAGTGCTTTTTAGCAACTCCTCACACAAAGTTCATGCTTGGGAGTGGCTCCCTGATGAGCTGCTGAGCCCCTGGGAGCTGGAGCACTGTGGCCATCCAAGGGCATTGATGAGGGACAGAGCAGCCAGCCTGAGGCTGAGGTTTGGGGTCTGGCCAGAACAAGGGCTCCCTCCTCCTGCACATCCAGCAGGACAGCTCTGCACCCGTGGAAAAATTTTTGGATATGGGCAAATGAAGATCTACCTCAACACCTGAGGCTCTTTCACCAGTATCCCTCTTAGAGTTCCAAGTGGGACAAACCCCAAAGCCTTCACTCACTTCGCAGTCCAGTGAACTCTTAAACAAGACCATGAATACAACCATGAAAGGGCTCAATGTTTCAGCCCTATAAACATTAAGGGAGACTATTGCTCAGGCTTTTAAGTTTTAGGGCTGAATCCCTCAAAAGCTATTACTAATGAAGAAAGAGAGGAGGGAAAAAGTGAAAAAAGCAGCTTAAATCAGGCAAGGAAAATCACGGAAAATGCTGGAGAGGACCACAGAGCACAGATCAGAAAAGAATAAAAATCAAGGAGCAGTGGAGTTACCGGGTACCCATCGCGTCCTGACTGCCCCTGTGGGGGGAACAAGGGACATGAGTCAGTCAGTGCACCTGGAGCAGCTTGACATCACAGAGCAGCAGGCAGGACATGGGCCATGGCCTCTCCAGCCAGCCCTGGCACTGAACTGGACAAATCTCTTGGGGTAACTATCAGAGGGGTCACACCTACACTGCATTTCCCTGATTTCCCTGGATTGTGATCCCCTGCCCCCCTTTGGCTACTTACCAGGGTTTTGCCAACCTGCACCCATCCCTGCTGCCCATGCCCAGCCCCTGCTGGCCCTGGAGCCACAGCCATGCATGGCACACACTGGGTCCTGGCCATAAAGCTGCCCTGGCATGGGGGTGCCAAGAGCAAAGAAAACACCCCAGTGCTGGGGGGAGGTCGTGGAGGCTGAGGCAGCAGCCAGGACAGCAATCAGTGAGCTTCAGTACTTGATTCTGTGAAGATTTACCCCTCTAAATCCATTAACTTCCTTGTAGGGTGCCCTCTCCCAGCTCACACCTAAGCTTTGCTTTATTTGCAGTGAAGCAGAAAGCACAGCTGATGCTGTGGGGAATGACCCTACTGCAGTTTCTAGAGCAGCTGCAGGATCAGCAGAACAAATCACAGCCCAGTCAGGGTATTTCACCTTTCCTGCTCTCCTCAGGGGTTCCCAGAGGTGTTCACAGCCCGAGGGGCTGCTGACCATGCCCTGAGCTACAGCAGACCCAGGGCAAGACCCAGGAAGGAGCTGGTGGGAATCAGCTGGCACACACACAGGCAGTGAGGAGTGCCTGTGCAGCAATGTCACCTGCTGCAGCAATGCCACCTGCTGCACAAACACAGGTGATCTCAGCGTGCTGTGGGTGCAGAGCTGGAGTCAGGCTTTGCTCATGGCATGGGACAGCTCCAGCAGCCCCTCCACACCACTCAAGGGGGTTCTCCCTTCCCCTAAGCACCCCTGCAGCTGTGATGCCTCCTGCAGCGCTCCTGGTTCTTTCAGAATCAACACTGACTCCAGCAACTGCCTGTTTAACCAGTTACAGCTTGGGATAAAGGGGACAGGAGGTTTATGGAGAGGTATGGCAGGGAGCACACACAGATAAATAGGAAACACTTGGAACACCCTGCCCTCGCTTGCTGGTGAGTTCCCCAGCCAGCACATTAGCACATGAAGTGTTTGCTAATATCTGTGACTGTAAATGCTTAATTACAGTCTGTGGCAAGCCTATATTTCAATTGTAGAAATTTCCTACCCAGCATGTGATTTTAATACTCTCCAAAACAGAGGTTTTATAGAATATCTGAGCAGAATACCCCTTACTCACAGACAGGACAATCAATCATCCATGAGCCACAAATCCTGTACCACAAATACTAATAATTTTATATGCATAACTAACTTATGACAGCCAAAAGAATAAAATACCAGAACAACTGCTACTAGGGAACAACAGAATTGGGGATACAGTTAGAGCAGTGTAATGCTGTACATGTAAGAAGTAATCAATTCCTTCTGGCCTAAATCAAGAAACAGAAGAAACTAATAAATGCAGTACTGTTAAAATAAAATAATATTGTGGTTCTGTGGGTTCTAGGACTTATTTTATATTATGCTTAAAGAAGTCTCTGGCAAAGGCCATTTATGCTAAAAAGCAGGATTTAAAAAAAAAAAACAAAACCAACCAACCAACCCCACCCAACCCAAAAATTAACTAAACCAGGAGTTGTCTTTCAAAGAAGGGCAAGGGGAGAGGAAAGGAAAAAAAAGGTCTTGTTTGTGTTAAATCTCCCCTGTGCTCCGTTTGCAATTCAATAGTGCCGTGGGAACCAGGAAATGAAACCAACTAGAGACAAAGAAAAATTAATAGTGCACCATATGTTGCCTGTGCTGGATGGCCATAATAAACGTGAGCAGACAGCACACGTGAGGCAGCACCAGCCCTGGCTGCGTGTGGGCTCAGAGCAGCCTCTGAGCACGACCAAACAGCCACACAAACCCATTCCCAACTGGCCAAAGCGCTTCAGTCAATGGGCAGTGTCCCTTAAAGGTCTATTTGGGGAGTTTTAAACAGGCAGTGTCCCACTATCCTCTTTATTTAATCCCAAATAATCGTTTTGCTCAACCCCCTCTTAAGTATTTAGGTTAAAAAATGAACTTGAAATAGAAGCAAAAATTCAAAGGACTGAAAACTCTTCACTAAACCCACAGGCAGCGCTGCCAGTTCCAGAAGAACCAAAGCCATGGTGATGGGACAGCCCCCACTTCTTGTCACCATAACAGAACTGGGAATTTATTAGCTCAGGAATAGTTGCCAAATTTATTTTCCCTAAAATAAGCCCTTTCAACTCAGTGAGGCTCTATAGGAAGAGAACAACGTGAAGAAATGCCTCTGCTAGTGCAATGACAGACAGGGAAATATGGCTGCAAACAGCCTGAACCTCTCCTCCTCCTCCTCCTTTGGGGGAAGAAAGGTAGAAAACCAGAAGCACCTAATACCCATAAATTAATTTTTAAAGCAACCCTCAGCAACTTGGAGGGCACAATAAAACATAAATTCTCACTCCAAAACCAGCAGGAGAACAACAGATTTGGATGTGGTGGCACAGCCAAAGGCACGTCTGAACATTTGAAAGGAGGAGTTGACACATTTTCAACTATTACCCCTTCAAACAACTATTTCCCCATAAATTTTCTGGTTGCATTGGTAGGAATGCTCATTATTCTACCCAAGACTTCAAAGAAAGAAGCAAGCAAGCTATGGTTTTCCCTCTAGCCCCCCTTGTGAGGCAACCAAACCCATATTAAATGCTGGAAACACAATAGATAAGAAAAGCAAGACAGAGCTTTAGAACCAATAAACCCAGTAACATGTTAAATATTAGTACAGCACTCTTTCTGTTAAATAGAGGCAGACTAAAGAACTCTTTAAAGGGAAAACTCCTTTTTACTGAATATTTTCTGAGTTTAAAATTAGTGGAAGTCCCTTGGGGCAGCAAGTTAAACATTTTAAAATTCCCCCCACAATTTGTCTACAATCATGAAAAAAGAAATCCAGCAGCATCTGGTACTGATTTGGTTTCCAGACACACCTCCACCAAAAAAAAAAATGCTGTGCTTTTGCAAGGGCACTGAAAAGCAGGGGAAGGGGAAGCCTTAACTTTGTTGATCCAATAGTAAAATCCACGATACTTACTGCAGGTCCTGGAAAACAAAAGAAAAACAAAGAAAAAACGAGTCAGTTACAAAGAAAAAGTACAATCTGATATAACAACAGAAAGCAGGAACCAACACCAGAATGATTTGGGACTCTTCAGTCCAATTCCATGTGATGACTTTGCAGATTCACTCAGGACCATCCACGCCCTCACTCAGCCCCATCTCACCCATGCTGCTGGCACAGCAGTACTGGCAGGGGTGTAATCACAGTGTGACTCTGTTTCCTCTCCCCTTACAAGACCCTGGGCATGTCACAGGGCAGGGCCCATGTGCAGGGTATCGCCTTGGGCACCACCAGTGGCCAGCAGAAAGGAGACAGATGTGGCCAGAAAAATGTACCAATTTTTACTAATAAAATCTATATTTTCACCATGGACCTTATTTATCCTTTGGGTAATGCAGGAGGAGCAGGATAGAAGCTCATGAAAGCCAGAGGAGCAGTGAGGTAGGGACCTGACAAGGGCAGTGCTGCTGCTTCCACAGACCCCAAATGTTCCTGTCGGATGTGCCCCCCTCTCCCTGACCTCCAAACATGTCACAAAACCCCTGTGCCACCTCCATGTGCCCCTGCTCCTGTTCTCTGTGCCACCCTCATGTGTCCTTGCCCCTGTTCCCTGTGTCCCTGCTCAGTGCCTCAGCTCCAGGGAAATTCCCGTCACACCCAGGTCAGGCTTTGGGGGCCAGGGGCACAGTCTGAGGCTGGCTCTAACAGCAGTAGGAAAAGAAACATTCCCCCAAATCCCCCAGCAGGGCAGGGTGTTCACCACAGCCACAGCAATCCCAGTTTTCCCACTGCTTGCCCAAGCTGGTGCTGCCCTGAGGTGAGCACTGAGCCCTAATTCAAAGCAATCCATGTTGCACTCCTGTTCATGAGGCAGCCTATAGCTCTGTCTGGGATTTATTCATGCTCTGACTCTTGCCTGATCAAAACCAGAAACTAGAAACACAATTAGGAAAGGAAAAAAAAATGTGGGAAAGCTTAAAATGGAGGCAAAAAATTAAAAAATCTTTGTTCATCTATGTTATTCAATAATATTATTCAAGAAACATATTTCAAGTCAATGCCTTTTCAAGGATTTTAAAATTAATTTTAAAATTAAAAACATGGCTAAGTTGAATTAAATAAAAACCAAACAAGCCTAAGAATGAGAGGTGGCAGCAAGCAATGGCTGGCAGTGCACCAAGAACCATCCCAGTGACCTGTGTCTGTCACCTGGAGGGGTCAGTGCCCCCACACAGCCACACCTGGGGCAGGGACAGCTCCAGGCCAGGAGCACAGGGGCTTAACTCGCTCTCCTTGCTTTAATTTCTTCTGAATACAGAAGCCAGTGGCTCTGTGCCAATTTATTAACTGAGAATCATAAACCTGATTTATTAACTCACTTACTCCAGGCTACCCACAAGAGTCCTTTTGTGGAAAAGTCAAGACTTAAGTCTCAAAGAAGTGTGCAGGAAATTATTTTAATATGGGATTTCAATCATGTACCAATTATAATCTCTTTGGAATTTGTTGCCTACTTTCCTTTTCTCAGCTACTGTTTTTTTCTCCCCAACAAGTGCAGGTAAATGCTTTTTTAAAGTGCTTCCTCCTCCCAAATTCAGGAATCAGTCAAATGGGAGGGTCTGTAAATGCACCTTTGGATGTTCTCCAGCCCTACCAGTGGAGTTACACCAATTTTTCACTGTGCTGCTGGCCAATTAAGGCTAAATAAATCTTCATTAAAGCATAAAGTTAAACCTATTTAGCTGATCTTTTCTCCTCCTAAGAACAACATAACTTTCTGGTTTGCTGAATGTGTTTTTCAACAGCCCAGCCACAACGCACTTGTTTCTTATGGGAAAAAAGTCAAATATTTTTGCAATTCAACGATAAATAAAGAAGCTGGTCCTGTACCCAGGGGCTGCCCCTCATCCAGCCATCTCATCATTGTGGGCACATTGCACAAGATTTATGCTCTTTTCAATGAAATTTGCCAGAATTTACTGCTAATAATTTTGACTGGTGATAATCAGTTTGAGGGGCTGCAAGGGAGAATGAAAGAACTTGGAAATTCTTACAACAAATAAAAGTTGGAAACAGCCTTTGTATACTGAAAACTATGTGACAAATTAACTTGGTGGCTGATTTCAGAAGGCAGAGGAGAAAGACAAAAATAACCTGCAAATGCAGAGATTTTGGTCTATGATTGATTTACCTGAGCAGGGAGGATGCTGCTGTAACCAGGAGTGAACACCTTGTGCTCAAGCATGCAAGGGCATGGAGGAATTTGGGAACACAAAAAGATTCCTTAAGAACATGCACAGCTGTGCTAGCAGGAGGTGAAAATCAAAACTCATTAAAAATTAATGACCCAGATTTCCTGATTGACCAACATGAATGTTATTTTGTATATCCAGAGCCCGAGTGGGTCACAGCAGCATCATCCCCAGCAGTACACAAACATATGGGAAATGACAGGTCACAGTCATTTATTTCCAAGTATTTTTTCAGCTTGGAAATTTTGGGATAAGATGATATTTCTGTTAAAGCTGCAAGTCATTTATGCAAGCTCTCCTGCCATGAGAGGAGAGAGCCAGGCAGGGGAAACAAAACCAGCCAGACATTTCCAACAGCTCAGGAACAGTCAGAGGGGATTTTGCTGCAGCAAATAGCCCATCCCCAAGGTAGCAAACATGCATCTGTGGCCATCTGAAGATGTAAAAAAATATAGTCAAAAAATCAATATTAATACATGGCTATGTGTATTTAAATATAAGCACTATGTATATACATACACATACAGCTATTAATTTGGGATGCTGTAAAAGGAGTAACAGAGCCATGGGTAACATAAGGTAACAACTGCTTCAGCCATAAGAAGCCACAGAAACTGGGGAAAACTTCATTTGTCCCTATGTGCTGACCTCTAACTCCTGTCTGTGCCTCAGAGCTGGGGCACACAGGGAATATGCTCTCCCAGCAGAGGCTCATTACTGAGAGCCAGATTAGATTTTTCCTGGAGTTCAGCAGAAGAAGTCCTTGAGGATGAGGTTGTCACAGGCAGTTCATAGTGAGAAATAGAGGGAGCAATAGAAATCCCCAAATAAATACAGTTTTCTGTGTGATTTACCCACATGCAGCCCCATGTGTACTTACTGAATAACAACAGCGGGATATTTACAATTGTCCATTCAATCACAAGGCTAATGGGTTTGAAAGCATAAATCTTGATATGTAAAATATGGGATTTTAAGTATCTATATAGCACAGGTAGAGAAATAAACCTTCCCTGCATAGAAATCACATTGGTTTTTTTCCTTTTAAAAAAGCTTTAGATTCCTTCTTGTTCCAAATCAGGATATTTGCACAAACAGAATAGTTGTAAGAAAAAAAGCCCTCCCAAACTAACAAAAAAACCATTTGAATTAAATCTTTGTTAGAAGTTCAAATTAAGGCAATACCTGCAGCCTAATGTAAAGAAAAAAAAAATCGTGGGTGGTGGGCAGAAGACTTCTATCCCATAGCAAAATTTTAACACATTTCCCCAAAAACTGCTTTTGAGATGAAACATTTTGTAAACAAAACTTTTTCTGCCAGAGATAGAAATCATGCCAAGTCAGGATTTTCCAAAGAAATAACACTTCATAAAAAAATGCCCTCTCTGGCCCACCTGTAAAGGGAATTTTGTGCCAAACCAGCCAACGTTTATCCCCCTGGGCTGTAGCTGTGCACAGCTGATGCAAACAGCTGGTGCACAGCACCCCAGCCATCAGCTTTGGGTGTTTGTGTCCTGGGCAGCTCTTGCTTCGTGTGAGGAGAGCAAAGCCTTACTCAGAGACTTGCCAAGCTGAACATTTCATGTGGCTTGTCTCCTGGTTTATTTTGAGAGATTTTGAGCTTCAGTTTTTGGATCAATCATCAAGCCAGGGGAAGAAAGCAGAATGATATTCCAAGAGACAGGAACATCATCTCCCACCATCTAGTTGTACAAAGCCTTTGAACCAACACTCCAACATAGCTCCCAAATCCTGGATCCTGTTCCTCCATCCTTCAGGAACACCCCAGCATGGCTCAGTCTTTAAAACAATAAACACAAAGCCCTGTGAGGGCTGTGCATCCCTACCCCATCCTGCTCACACAGCTGGCAGCAAGAGGGGAAGCAAAACCTCCCAGGTCCCTGGCAAAAATCCGTGTGATTTCACAAACGCTCACTCCAGCGGCTGAACTGTGTCCTCACTGGGACATATCACATTGGAAAAATAAGCTAACATGACATTAAACCTGATTTTGCCTTTGGCAAGGAAAAGGAACTGCATCTGAGATGAGCAGGCTGGCTGTCAGGGCCAATCACGCCAGCAAGTGCTGCAAAAGCTTTCTTCCACCCCACAGTGAGAGAAGGCTGAAAATCCCACATAAAATTGTATTAAAATGTGTTTTTCTTTCTGTAGACCACTTCCATGGGTGGCTGCACATGACTCTTCAAGGCTGTGCTTGCTTTCCAGCTGGAAAAGAAACTGTTCATGATCATGTGCAGGAATAAGGGTGCTGGGACCCTTGTTCATGATCATGTGCAGGAATAAGGGTGCTGGGACCCTTGTGTCTGCCCTGGCAGGGTGGGATGGAGCTCAGGACTTGCTGGACAAGACCAAACAGCCAAAGTGACATCCCCCAGAGAAGGTGCTGGTGTGAATTTTCTGGCCTCATGGTAGCAGCAGTGGGATAAACTGGTTTTTAAGAGCAGCCTCTTTTGCAGTGGTTGTGCCCAGCCCCAGGACTGCTCCCCTGTTGCAGCCGTGATTCCCACAGGGCCAGATGATGGAGAGAGGAAATCAAATGGGTTGGATGGAGCAATTTGACTCAGTTACTCCCTGGTTTGTTCAGCTGGGCTGATGGGGGGAGAGAAACACACCCCAGATACTTGGCCCTTGTGTCTGGGCTCAGGGAAGGGGTGACAGGGGGACCTTTGTGCCACCACGGGGAGCTGGAGCTGCCACCAGAGATGTGAACCCAAAGGGAAAATGAGGTTCAGTGCAGCCCCCTCTGCCCTCCAGGGCTCCCCAGGGGAAAACCTGTTCCCTTTATGCTTCTCTACAGCAAAATAAACCATCAGCCCAGAGGCAAGGCCCAGCAGGACCCCCTGCCTGCCCTGGGCAGGTTCTGGGGGCAGTGGGGGCTCACTCTATTGGTTTAACAAGTGCTTTTGAAGCACGTGCAGCCAGGCTTGTCCCACGTCCAAATGGTCTAAATAGTTCTTTTTTTTTTTTTTTGCCAGAAATGGTTTTAAAATTAATCTTTTATGGTATGGTGCATATCTGTGAAGGAGAGCAGTTGTCCCAATGTGTTTTCATGATGATGAATTCTTAGTTTAGAGAAACAGAGCTGGAGGATTAATTTATTTCATCTGAATCCATCATGGCAGAAGAAAAAAGCAAAATTCAGTCTTGGTTTAGATCAACAAGAGGGTGTGATTAAAAGGGACAGGAGTATCTCTTAACAGTTTCTCTGCTTGTTTCTTAGAGATATACATTGAAAGTTTCAATATAATCTGAAAAGCTTTTTCAACATGACTATTTCAACAAAGGCCAAAGAAAAACACTTCCCTTGGCAGGGCTGAGCCTTCTGGCTCTTCAACAGCCTTTGTCTGGAGGCTGTGAAGCCCTAAGCAGGCAGGGTCCCTGGGGATGGACACCAGCATGCTACACAAACAAAGTTTTATTCACATTTATCAGCTGTAGCAAAGGAACAAGGGCCCAGTTTATGTGTGGTCAGGTTCTCAAACAGATATAGAAATATATATTCCAGTTATCTGGAGAAACAAACAGCAGTGAGCTCAGCCAAAAGCAGCACACAGCAGGATGGCTGCTGCCTGTGTGTCTGCAGTGGGGCAGTGCAGGCTCTGCACTGCATTCCTGGGATTGCACTGGGAGCCCCAGCGTGTGCCTGTGTGCGGTGGGTGGCAGCTGCACTCTTCTCTATTCTCCTCCACAATTACAGAAATGTAAAAAAGTTGTTACTAAGGTTTGGAATGTTTTATCATCAATAATTAATTTCTTCTTTTCTAAATTTTTTTTTTATTTTACAATTTTGTTTTCTTGCTGGCTCTGCATTGATTCCCTGGCAGCTTTCTGCTTCATCAGAGGGATGCTCAAGTGCATTTGCAGATGTGTCATAGCACGAGGGAAATTGCTGCTTTTCAAGAGTTTGGCATGAAGCAGGGAGAAGAGATTTAAGGGCATGTGTGAGTCCAGTGTTACCTCCCAGATTTCTGTATGGACCAGAGACACATCTTGCACAGTGTTTACACAAATGCCTGCATATAAAATCAGAGCCACTGGCTGACCTCTCCAGCTGCCCTTGCTAGAATGCTGTATTCCACTGTGCTCCTTAAAGCCCTTAGGTGTTTTTTTTTTTTAAAAACCAAGAAAATAATCAAAGCTGTCTGGTGGCTGTTCCTACCGCCTGGCTGCTGAGAAAATGAACCAAATTAACAAAGCTGGTTGGAATCCACCACCACTCCATTAGCACCTATCCCTTGATCAGGAGTAAATCCCTGATGCTTCAGGAACAAAAATATCTCAGAAAACCCCTGATGCACTCAGGAATACCAGCAGTGGGGGAGAAGGGAAATGCCTGCCTGCCTTTCTTGTCCCTCAGTCCAGGAGTTCAGGTGCTGCTGCTGATGTGCAGCACAATCCCCTCAACTTCCTTTCCTCAGAGTAAAAAAAAATTGTTTAAAATACTGGTGATCAGAAAGTTATGCGGCCCTTTTTGAAATCCCAGTTGTGAATTTTTAATAGCAAGAGGCATCAGAGGACAGAATTCAGCCTCCTCACTAAATGAAAATCCACTGGCTCCCGTTCATTCAATCAGTGTCCAACAGCCTAAGAGCTGGGACGTAATTTCATGTGCTGCTTTCTGGCACAGTGAGGCAATCCCAAAACCTGCCTGGCTCCCTGGGCACATCCCAGTGTATTTTCCTGAGCAATACCAGCTGCATCTCTCTCTTCTCCAGCAGCACTCAGACCCAAGAGCAGGATGCAATCACCACCTCTCCCCAGCTGAAATAGGGGCAGCCCTTTCCCATTCCAGAGACAGGCACAAAACCTCGCCAGATACACTGAAGTGACAGAGACACAGAATTACAGCTCAAATGCACCCCCCAAGGCTGCTCTGTGGTTTCAGCCAGGCTGAGGGCACACTGATGCTCAGGGGAGGTGCCCAGGGCTGGTGGCTGAGGTTTGGTTATCCCTGACTCCCAAATGCAGACACCACCAGGCAGACAACACAGGGATATGGCCACATGCAGAGGACAAGCCAGTGCACACCTCCCATCCAGCACGGCTGGGGAGTTCCCTATTTCCATGCTCCATTCCCTATTTCCATGCTCCATTCCCTATTTCCCTATTTCACTGTCCCTCTTCAGTGTTGGGTGGGGCAGTGATGAGGCTGAATCCTACAAGGAGAAATGGAAGGATGGACAAAAGATATAACAGCTGTGGGTGCTTTGAATGGAACTGGTTTCCTTTTGTTTTGATTGGTTGGTTTCTTCCTCTAATTTTTTAAAAAAATTTGGTTTTGGTTGTTAGGAGTTTGGGACCTGGCTTTGTTTGTTTTTTTAAAGTTTTTAACAAAACCCTTCATGCCCAGCACACAGGGGCGAGGTTCCCCAGCCTGTTAGATGGAGGTGGCAGGTGGCGTTACCCAAAGGCTGCCACCCCCATGCCACCCCCCTGCCACCCCCATGCCACCCGGTGCCCAGGGCAGGTGATGCTTACCGGGTTCTCCGCGCCGGCCGGGCTTCCCTCGCCGCCCCGGGGGCCCTGTGGGAGGCAGGCACAGAGCACAGGGTTAGTGATGGCCATGGACAGCCAGCTCAGCAGAGCATCTGCCACAGGTCCTCCCCTTTGAACCCATCTCATGTCTTCCCCCCTTTCACAAACACCAAAACAGTTGGTATGCAGCGCAACTTAAATACCATTTTCTCCCCCACAACGTAATTCCAGTGAAAAAACCAATCTGGGAAGCAGGTATTGAAGTTATGAGTATTGTAGATAGTAAAGAACCCCAGATCTGGTATGATCCAAAATTCTGGAAAAAAATCCTCTGCTGAGCAAGCAGCATTGCTGTGCAGTCCCTGTGTGCTGCAAATGGCTGTTACAGGTTTGCAAATCACAATATTTAAAGTATTAAAGCAATGAACATGAACCACTTGATACTAATAATTATCTGAGTCAGAGATGCTTCTGTGCAACTGCTGGCACAGCCTAGATCTGGTCACACATTTTTAATTTCACATATCAATCTTGTTGTATTCTTACCCTACTGGGCAGCAATGGCTAAGGGGTCAATAAAAGGCCATAAGTGACAAAATACCCTTAATTAAGGATAAAAGCACTCAGACAATAAACTCTGATACAGAATACTGCTCCAGCACACAAACAGAGAGCATCCATGTCTCTGGCAAAGCCATAACACCAGATCCTTCATGCCCTGGTGTTGCAGCCTCTCTGCTGCAGCCAGCATTCCTTGCCTAGCACCTGGAAGCATCACTTCTCCCATAACATGTGCATTACCAGGCTGGGAGAAAAAGCTCCTTTTTGTAGCCTCCTGCAGCAGGTCAGCCAGCTCTGGTGGAGTATTTGAGAGTGACAGTAACATTAACAAAAGGCAAGAACTTGCTTTTTATCTGTGAAACAACACTGCTCCCTTTCCTTTCTGCTGGAAAAGGAGGATAAACAAAGACCATTAAATATTTCTGCACTCCTATCAGAATTTCCCCTGTTGCATAAACATTTCTGTGCTCAAACGTACAACTACATCTCCAGAATTTCAGGCATAGCCTGGAGTTCTCCTCTTTGAAGTCTGGATACACTGTGCAGCACTCTCCCTTCCCAGCCCACCAGGGAGCTCCAGAGGAACTCCTGTCCTCACAGGGGCTCCAGTGGGAGCCCAAACCCCACCTGCTCCCTCGCTATGGGATTGGCAGCCTGCAGACAGAAGCCCTGGTAGTCACAATGATTGGTAAAAAAATCCACCACTACTCCCTGAGTAACTTGCTCACAAGTTTCTACAGGGGAGACAAAAAAATCCCCCCAACATATTTGCAGCCTCCTTGAAAGCACATTACAGCCAGGAGAGAGGTTTACTTCTTCCATTCCAGAGTCCTGCTGCTTTGGAGAGGAACCACAGCTCTGATGAAGCAGCTTTTTCAACCTTGGAGACCACCGGTCACTGAGCAATTAAAGCCCCTCTACCTGCACCATCCTCTGGGCTAATTTTGGGGGTCTGACCTGCAGGCAGACCCTGAACCTCAGCAGCTTCCAGCCTCTCAGAATGCAGGGGATCCTTTAAACACCAGCCTTGCTTAATCCCTGCCTTTCCAAGGGCTCCTCCTGCATCTGTTTAATCCAAATTCAGTAACCATTCTGCTTTCCCTCCTGCTGGCAGCAAGCACAGGCTGCTCCCCAGGGAGGAGGAGATGTCCTAATGGAGGTGTAGGAGAGTGAGGCCAAGTATCTCAACAAGTGAGTAACGGCTTGGTATTGATGCTATTAGGCAGCTTAGAGGAGAGCTGATATCAAAGGGTGGATGCACAGGGCTCCCACATAAAGCTGGGTTGGAGCCATTCAACTGAGAATGTGAGAAACCTGCAAGAAACCAAAGATTCTGTATAAAGAATCATGTTGTGAAACCTTAATACTAGGCTGGGGTTTTGGTATTTTTTTTTTCAAATTTAAGAAATTTCCTAATACTTCACACCACATGGGAAAAATTGACTCTTGCCTACACCAAGGGTAGATATCCCATCCCTGGAAACATTCCAAGTCAGGTTAGATGGAGCTTTTCTGACCTGACCTAGCTGAAGGTGTCCCTGCTTATTGCAGGGGGATTGGACCAGATGACCTTTAAAGGTCCCATTCAACCCAAATAATTTTGTGATTTTATAATTCTTTCCCTACAGTCTTCCAGGAAATCTGTAAAATGGGTGCAGCACATGGAATTACAAATATATTTCAGAGATGTTGCTTGTGGCAAGTGAGATAAACCAAAACTGGGAGAGGAAAAAATTTAAAATCCATTCTCATCTGTTTTACTTGCTGATTTTATCTGAAAGCAATTTGGTTTAAAAAAAAAAGGAGCATTTTGGAAACCACATCTAGAATCCTGCTGCTACTCAGTAGCTGGGTTGGGAAATGCTTCTGAGGAGGAAAAAATTGGTGGGAAATAAAAGGGAAAATATCAAACCCAGAACTTACTTTGGGCAAGAGCTGCAGATGTCAATTCTGTGGTGCAGGTGGGGGTGAGCAGGACAGAGACTCCCAGCTCCCACAGAGAGGGCAGCAGAGAGGAGCAGCCCAGGAGTCCCTAATGCCATCTGCAGCCCCAAACTCTGCAGATGTGATAATATCTGTGCTCAGAACAATTGGAAATTATTATTGTAGCAATTTCGAGCTTATTCTGGGCTCTCAGCTTTAGATGGATTCACTTTCTGCCTGCTTAATGAACCAGGCATAAAGTGAATCCATATTACACCTCCTGTTTTCAACCCCTTTAGGAAGCTACAAAAGAAATTAAGGAGGCCTGGGAATTTGCTTTAAGATGAGTGTTCCCTGTAAACTGCTCCCTAATGGCTCCATCTCCCAAGACCTCGCAGTCTGATGTTTGTTCAATAGAATTAAGATTCATGTTGCATAAAGTAAATTGGGCAATGGCTGAGTCTTTTCTTCTAACTGTGCCAGCCCCACAGTATCAGTCTTGGGAGTCCTTTATTTACATTGTTATAAAGAGAGTTTTGGAGTGGAGAATGAATACAAAGCATAAGAGTGTATTTTCAAACAACTTGTCACATTCAAGCTAAACAACCTTAATCCAGGGCATAATATGCAACTTCTGACAATACCATAAGTTTCCCAGTAAGATGATAGATTTAGTAACCCAAAGACAAAGAAAGAGAATGAAATATATTGCTATTTGAAAATATTATGAGGAAGAGATGATGGATGTATCTAAAGAATAGCTCCTCAGAAACAAGGTAAAAAGTTCATAGTAAACACTCACAATTGCTGGGTAGCAGCCACTTATGTCATCTACTGTGAGCAAGTAAATGAAATATTAAAAATCAACATCACTTTATTATTCACATAAAATATTGTAAAAAGCCAAACCCATGTACTTGTCCACAGTACAGTAAATAACCTTTGTTTGAACTAATTTACCCATTGCAATTCGGGCTGCTCAATGAACACCATAATCCATCAACACCAAGGAGAACAGGCACTATGTGTTTTTGATGTCCTTTTATCCCCTGTAATTAAACCAAATCCACTCCTTGACCCATGTTCCCATGGCTGGGAGGCTGTATTGCTGCCTCCCAGCCCTTCAGCTGGATGGGTAAATTTCTGCCTGGGCAAATTACTGTTGGGCACAAGGTAAAATCAATGTTTGTCAAGGGCAAAGTGAGTTTAAAGCGTTAGCAAGAAAGGGAGTCCAGCAAAACCTTGCTGAATACCAAAGCTCTGCTAAATGTTCTAACAGTGAAGAACATTTTAGCCAAGAACTTGTGCCCTTCCCTTAAATTTCTCCTACACATCACCTTTTTCCACTGAGAACACTTACACAGAGGAGTCCCACAAACCTGGGTCCATCTCTTCCTTCAAGCCATGTGCTGCTGAGGCTCTCAGGGATTTTTTTTGTTATGTTGATCCAAAGAAGTAGTTGAGAACAGCATTCAAGTAAAAACCTTGGCCAAGTGAAACGAAGACCTATCTCAGTGGATCTGTAAACCAGAGAGCTTTTTCCCTTGCAAGCACAGCACAGCGAGCTGATCATGTTGTGAAATCTCAATCATAAATATAAGGTTATTTTAGGGCCTCATTTTCTAGAGGAACTCATACCTAACACATTGTGCTCTAACATAGGATTAAGTATTACACCAATTTTACACCACTCATGTGGTTGCACTTAAATGCTTTTTTTTTTCCTTCTTTTATGAGCTTCAAATGGTTTAACTTGTTTCCCCTTCTTCCCTTTTGGCATTTTTCAAGTTGTTTTCAATATATCAGCATTTTTTTCACTTAAAAATGAATCAACCAGAAGAATGGCTTGAACAAATTGGTTGGTTCAGCCACTCTCAAGAATAGATTTTTTTTTTTCTCTTCATATGGCTTCACTTAGAAGGAAGGAGAACTTTGCAGCAGAGCACCGTGGGGTCTGGTACTGAGCACGAGGAAGCCATGGCCCCAGCCTAGCTGGCTGTTCCTGCACAAAGGCCAATTTACTTTCTTGTTCCCTGAGGACAAAGTTTATGGTTCATGGGCAGGAGTCAGATGCTGTGATGCTTGCTCAGCTGATACTCATCAGGTACTCAAGTCAGGCTGTGGCTCTGAGACTGCAGATCTGAGATTAAACAGTTTTGGGTCACAACACTTTGCATGAACCTTCCTGGCTTGGGATTCCAACAGACCCAAAGACTCAAAGCAAATACCAGGTGCAGATTGGAAACACGCAGCACCTACAGTCTGCAGAAGTTTTCCAAATAAAAGAAAAAAAAAAAAGGAATATCTAGATTCATTTCAAATTTGGCCCAAGTGCCCCAAAAGCTCTCTGAAATCCTGGGCTACACTATGTGTTAGCAAAAACCACGCAGAAAGCAACCTCTAGTAGCTAGCTGGGGAGAGCTCCTTGCACTTCCATACCTGACCCAGTTGCTTTCAAGGTGCAAAAGAAGCAAGAAATTGTTTTCATTCTTAGGTCTTCAAAAAACATCTTCCTCATGGTGCATTGGGGAACTGTGCTCAGCCTCAGGGAGCAAAACATCCAC